GATATGTATATTTATGTATGTAAATATGTATTTATATATATATATATATATATATATATATATTCAAATTCTAGCAAAATATCGATTTTTTTTTTTTTATAAAGGTTCGATACAACTCACTTTGGCGGTAGGGGGTATATGGGTTTTATTATGGGTCTAATAATGTGGGTGCATTTGATATCCGGATGGATGCTTGTTCCCTTTTTCCTCCCAGTAGTCCTGCGCTTGCTCCTGGTGATGTTGAGTTGCTTGTTGATTATGACTTTTGTTAATTTGTTGGTTTGAGTTAGCGCCCGAAATGTATATTTATTTGTATGTATATTTATTTAATTATGTATTTCGCGTTTGTAATTGTTACGCGACGCTCCCGAACAAAGTTTTAAGTTTATAAGTTTTTCCTCACTATATGTATGTATGTATATAGGTATATACAGTAATATGGCACTGTGAAATTTAATTCCTCCGATATGTGTACATATATGGATCATGGTTGGTGCGAATATTCGCATTCGCATTCGCAACCGCGGAACTTCCGAATAAATTTTGACATTCGCATTCGCAATAAGCAATGCGGAGCTTTTGCGAATGCGAATATTGTACAAGTGCACTGATAAAACGTATATCTGGCAAACAAAAATTTTAGCGAAAATGTTCAACGGCTGGCTATAAAGAGAATCGAATATTATTTATCAAAGGTCTGTTGAAAAAACTGGATGCATCTCTAGTTGTTTTCTACTTTTTCTTAGTGTAATTATTTTTTCCTCATAAAACTTATTACCAGGGAACGGATTTTTAGGACCTAAAAACCTATAAAAAAGGCAAAATAAAGTAACGAAATAGGCTAAATCGTGGACATTCTTAATCGAATATACTCTATCTCTTTAGCAGAAAAAAAGGCAATTTCCATAAAATCCGTTCCCTGCTTATTACTCTGAAGTTCCGTGTTTCCTTTTATTAGTCTTTCAGCTCGAAAACAAAAACATTTATTTTAATTTTGTGTGAATTGTCAAAATTAGCACGCAACGAAATAAAAAATAAAATGGTATGTAAATAAGTCGACAGCCAAGTTCACAAATTAAATAAGAATTATTTCAAGGTGAATTTTATATCTATTGAGGAGTGGGACTTGGCATGTAATATATCGTTAGTATAGTATGAAAAGGGCTTAACTTACATCGTAGCTGAAATACAAAAAGCCGTAACTAACTAAAAATCCAAAATTAACTTTTTGATTGATTGTGATGCATTTCATCGAATCATAAGTCCTCACATCGTTTTAGGCAATACAAAAATTTAGTTAGTTGTGTTTTTTCTCATTTCAGCGACAATGTAAAAATGAGCCCTTTTAAAATAGTATTAGCGATATATGTGTTCAAAATTTGCGTTCATTCGCCTCAAAAAATATATCAAAACACATTGAGCGCATGGAATGGAACAACAAAACAGATTTGATAGCTTATGGTACCGATAGCGGTGAGTAATTAATTGTGACTGCCTGCAACTAGGAAAAGCCGAGCTCAACTAACTCATAAAAAAAACTAATTACAAGGTATTCATTACAGGCGAACCTTTCCAAGAAGTCAGCCGAGAACTAAGCAAATCTGAGGCCTTTATCGTCCGTGATTCCAAAATTCAAATTATTATAAAAATCGGGGTACCTTTTTAACAAAATAACAAGATTTTAAACTAGTTCTGCTGGCAGCCACGACTTTCAAAACAGAATTTTCTTCGACATTTTCATTCCTAGAAAATAACAATTTATTTGCCATATCCACCTATTCACAACCTCGCTATAAGCGCACATATTTCAAACCAGTCACAGAAGACAGGATTAAAAATGAATTACAAAAACTTAAATCGAAAACGCTGATGACGTAACAGGTTCTCGAAATTCTGAAACAATCAAAAGAATTGATGCTCAAAATTGGAACACTACGGTGTTTAAACAACGATCTTTCCATGATGCTAGATTGTGAAGATGAAAGTCCGGAGGATACATCCGACATTTGCGGCCCCGATGCAATTCCCAAAAAGGAACTGTTGCACCGAAATAAAAAAGGAAACATAACTGAAAGTCCTCTCAACTGGTGCAGCGTCAATCGAAAACATTTTACAATTTTGTCAAGTTTCAAGTTTAGCGCCTCGAGCGAATAGTTATTTAGTGGCGCAGGTTTGATTTACGACCCGTTAGGAAACAGGCTGTAACCCGAAAAGGCAGCAAAATTACTCTTTCTTAAATACAATGTTCCAGTTTTTTAATTGAAGTTCTAAATAAAAAAACATTATTAAAAATTACTAACTTTTCCATTTTTTATTTACCTAAATCACCTAATGTACTCACCAAAATTATTTCTTAAAAATATTTGACATCCGCATTCGCATTCGCATCCGCGGATGTTAGCTTTTAAACATCCGCATTCGCATCCGCGGATGTCTAAAATTCCACATTCGCAACATCCCTAATATGGATCTATATCACTTTTAAACGTTTTTATTGTTGGCAATGGACTGTACAATTTAATTTTTTATTTTTTGGTGCCGTTCACTAAGGCTACGGAGGACTATGAACAATTTAGGCCCTTGGTTTTTTATATTGCCGGTAGCTTACCACTTAGTAACACTGGTTCCACTCTATGCAAGAAAGAAAACACAGAATTTTTCGCTTTAAATGTACAAATAGTGTGAGGGGTTTTTATTTATAAATCGAGGGGGCTGCTCGGACACGTCCGCACGGATGAGAATCTTAACGTTTGTTTATCTGTATACATGTGTGTGTGTGTGGGTGTGTGTATTACATGTGTAGTGTGTGCTGATGGTGACATCTGTGGGCGGTATCTTCGCGAGCGGAAGTGGCAGCCTTGCCATCGCGAAAGGACCCATTTTTTATATTATTTTTTATTTTGTAATTTTTCTTCTGTTAAAGTTTGATATTTGTTAATTTTTTCATTAAAAAATATAAAAAACTGGAATGATTAATTAATTTGCCAGAAACTATAAGCCCTATCGGAAAGTGATGTATATACAGTCTATGTAGAATTTTGTTAGCTTTTATTTGCGTATTTCATATTAAGATTGTTAAATTGGTTCGTAAGATATACGTGATTAAGTGGAACCAATTTAAGCTGGGCAGGAGTCACGTATGACGACAATCGTCTGGACGATATCGTGTTGAGATTGTCTTGCTTCATTTAAACCAAAACATGTTTGATCGTTTGTGCGATATCGTCAACTCGATTTTAATTTTGCTTCATGTAACCGTAACACTAACACCTAACAGCAAAACAAATACATGAATCAGTGTTTTGACGACATCGTTTAGTTAGTATCGTTTGAACGACTATCGTTTCAAAGTTACGTGATTCATGTCCTGAATAATGGTAAATTGCAAATATCTCGAAAACGTATCCATAGAAAAAATTAACTAGATTTTCAGAATCAGCGAGCGATTATATATAGGAATTGGAAAGTGGCATCCATTGAACATTTTTCCTGTAAATCAGTGTTATTAATCATTTTTTAGGTCTGGTATAATTGAGTTTGTACTCGCTTTAATGGTTTACAATATACCCAAATAAAAGTTATAATATTTTGTGTACTTTATTGTATTAAACTGTCGAAGTCAAATAAAACAGGGCATGAATAAAGCGTTTTGAACATGGTGCAAGTGTGGTAATTTTCTAACTAGTTCGGTTTCAGTCAGGAAATTCTAGTTGTAAACTAGTATTTTTCCTCACCAGTTTGGGGTTTCACTTCAGGGAGGATAAACTTATACCTGAGCAGAGTGAATGTAGATATACCCTATGAGTGCCCGGCATGCGGAGAGTCGCCACATGACGCACGGCACCTCTTCGCATGCACAAAGAACCCCACCCAGCTAACGCCTCTGTCCCGTTGGACAGACCCGGTGGAAGTTGCACACTTCAAATTATCGTATGTGCCAAAAAACACGTTTTTCAGAAAATAGAGACTTTTCTACAAAAAAATCTTGCGTTTAGTTATATTTCCCAATTATCTCAGCAAATCTAAATTTTAGTATTGGTGGTGTTAGCCAAAGCAGAGAAAAATAAAAAAACACTCCTGTAAAATATGGTATTTGTAACAGACGATAATTTTGCGCAAAGGGGTCGATATTTTCTGCAATTCGCTATCCAGGTGATTACTAAATGGGCCGATGATTAGATTTTTGTGGGACGGCTATATCAGATCTGTAAGCCAAAAATGTCTGCAGTATACTCTGGGTAGTTATTTTGTTGGTAGTAATAGTCGGATTCTATCCCAACTTTGGTTTAATTCTGAGTAAAGGGTTTGATTGACTAACTAGGAAATATTTAACATTTTACACAAAAATAATGAAAAATATATTATTTTGTGGGCGTGTCATACCTTTAAAAGGCAAATATGATAACTGACGAACACTTTTATCCATATGTGTATATATGTATATTGGGGCTGTTATTCAACACCTTTTCTATCTGTAATGACTTAAACTTCATCACTTGTTTAAAGTCGACATTTAAATTATAGATGTCAGTTAAGTTAAAAATGATTTCTAATATCTAAAGATAATGCTTATTTTTTAAATAAATAGATCCAGCAAAAAGAAATTTTAATGCTACTATAGATAACTAGTGGAATCCTCTAATTTGTCGAAATGATGTTAGCGAACCCATTCCACAATGGTCAGTGAACTGATCCTTACATGTGTTTGTATTACACATTTTAGTAAAACTAAGTTTGATATGAACTTTAATTTCGTTTTAATGACAAAAATGTTTACCAAAGTTTAACAAACATTACCTTGAATTTAATAAGGCATTTTCAAATTCACATTGTGAATCTGAAATGTGTTCCAAATCGCTTTATAACGTTTGAGATAAGAGAACACACCTAGTTCTTTAATCACCCTCTAAACTGGACTAAATTTTTGCTGTGGAAGGTGTTGAATAAAAGAATTTGATGTATGTATATAAAATATAAGCAATTGTAATATTTCGATTTTTTGCACAGATTCAAAAATTTGGGATGAATGAGTACCTAGGCCCTATTTATGTAACAGATGCTAACGAAGTAGGAACCTTCAATCATCCATTTTCGAAAAACTTACAGAGGATAATTGACAAAGAAGCTCGAAATCTGATACACAACGCGTATAATACAACTGAAAATCTACTCAAGAATAATATGAATAAACTCGAAAAGGTATGTTATAGTGAACTTTTGAATTATATATGTTTTTATTACCTTAATTTTTTAGATGGCAGAGGCTTTGCTTGAAAAGGAAACGCTTTCATACGATGAAGTGGTAAATTTAATTGGTCCACCTGCTTATGAAGTTGCAAACAGAGCACTAGAACCTGTTGAATTTGAAAAGTCTTTGAAAGCCCTCAGTGAGAAGGAGTAGTAAACTCAGTTATTTACTGCTCATACCTAGCATAGAAACGAGAAAAAATAAATTATTATGTGTTACGTAATGACTGGAAATACAAAAAATCTTTGACCATACTACAAATACGCTGAAATTTCGCATATGATCTCTTTAACACTTAAGAATAAAGAAATGTGGAAAATGGCAAAGGTCGAAGCACTGCCGCGCCCACAGCTCTTGTCGGCCAAAAAGGTAAACGTTGTCCGATTTTGATCAAATTCGGAGTATATGGGCAATTCTTACAAACTTCGAATTTTTTTGTGAATTTTTATTATTATTTTAAATCGTGAGCACGTTCCTTCATCTGTTATAATACAAAATCCAACGTGGTGCAACGTTTGAAAGCAACGCACCCTACGTTTTTAACGTTTTTTACGCGTTTTTTTTTTAAGTGGAAAACGGGCGTAATTTCAGTCTGATTTCGAAAATTTTCAACATATAGCTTTTTTATGCCAAGGTCAATAATTGCACAGAGTTAGGTCCAAATTGATAAATCGGTTACCGAGATACACATACAGTGAACCAAATAAAAACTGGGACGGGATATTTTAGTAAATTTTGGCTATTTTTCTTCACTTTATTTGACGCTTATTATTTTTTTATGAAAGTACAGCTGATTACTAAACAAACACGACATAAATCCAAATTATGAAAATTCTGCGAAGTTTGACCAAAACTTCTAACTTCTTGATCAACGTCTTTAGACAACATTTTGGTATTCAGTTTTGTAGCCCATCAAATTTTAGTTAACCAAAGTGCAAATTTTAAGTATCTTGGACTTACCGTTGATTTTTGGATTTTTTTTTTGTTGACGGTTCTCCGCACTTTTTTCGTATAAAAAAAAATTTCGAACATAAATTGCCAAAATTAAGGACAAGTCCTAGCATCTACAGCCCAAGCTCTTTCATTTGACATCTCATTTTCGAAAACCGCGCGGACGGTGCCGATTGGATAACATGGACAGCAAATCCTTTTGGGTATTATATATAGTGTTTTTTAGATGAAATTTTCAGGATCGGCCACTGGGACCATAATTAAGAAATAAACGAAAAAAGGACCTCGGTAGGTGTGCTGGGACGTGAGATATGTCCTGTTGCCATATGGCAACGCCAGCGCTGATAGGGTATAGGTTTTTCCGGATTAAATATATTGAAAATGCATCGTTCGTTTACGTTTTTTTACCAGAAAAAAGATTTTAAAGGCTATTATATTGATGAAAAATAAATGTTTCCTTGATTTTTTGTATTGATTGAGATGATTATACTTTGAATATACTTTGAATATATGTGTAGGTCCGATGCTAGCGTTAGCATAGGTCGCCAAGTTATGCTGTTTATCAGACCCGCGCTAGCTATTGTTACAGCTCCCCAGAAACCTGGTAGGTACGTCGTTGTTCATGGTCAAGAATGACGAATCGTCTCTTCTCAGCCAATATGCTTTTCCTACGATTATTTGCCAAGCTTGAGTGCCAAAGATCGTGGTGCGCGTTAGAGTCACATACCACCATACAGTTTTCACCCTGAAAAGCGCACTTAAGTATGTCAGGATAATATCCTGCCGTGCAGGCGGGCGGTATATAAAAGTTAACACATCCGCCGTCACCCAACATGTTGCATTCCCACAGTCCAGCAATACAATGCGCCATGTCCGCATAATTATTGTTCACAATATAATTGACATCCTACACCTTTGTCAAGGCCAAGTGCATTTCACCATATCATGCAATAGCAATACTGCGCAACGCTATCAGACACCTATGGGAACCGTCGGCCATAGTTAGTACCTCTGGCTAATGCTTACGCAACCATTAGTATAACGGAGCCAATGCATTAGGCATTGCAGCGGTGTCAGCATAATATTATTTCACACGGTTGTGAAATCAGTGTGTTCCAAGTTACCTGTGGGAATTCAAGGGCAAGGCGTCTCACTGACGTCGGGTATGTCTGGCTATGGAACAACGGCAGCAGAACAGGCTATAAAAGGTGGCAGAACTCGGAGCAGCGGCAGCTGCATCGGGGTGTTACTATTGTAAATTACGCTTATTTATTTATTTCAATAAAGTGCTTCTATTATAACATTCAAATTAACTCTTTCAAATCCAGGGCAAGGTGGCCCTTTAATTTTTTTAGTTATTCAGGACCTTCAGTCCTTAACTAAAATGTTAAATATTTCGAGCTCAACATCGCCAAGTCGGAGTACCAAGTACCCTGACATTCTAGGGTGGGGTCCCTGGGTTATCTAGGCTTAATTTAGTTTCGCTTGAGAAATTTTGTTTTCTATATGCTTTTTCCAGGTAAGTCTTCTATCTAGTGTCATCCCAAGGTATTTGACACTATCTTTTTGTGGTAAAGCCTTGCTGTTTATTTTTAGTGGTGGGCAAGTTTCTTTCTTCAAAGTAAATGTTTTCTGAACACACTTGCTTTCGCTAACCTTTATTCTCCAAGAACCTAGCCATAGCTCTAACTTTTTCAAAGATTATTTCAGCTTGTAAGAAGCCCCTTTAGGGTCTGAACTATTGCTTAGGATAGCTGTGTCATCAGCAAACGTTGGAATGGTTAGACTATCATCAGTTGGCAAATCGCGAGTGTATATTACGTACAATATGGGTCCTAGAACACTGGCTTGAGGGACACCTGCATATATTGGGTGACTTACTGTTCTAAAGGAATTCTGCCTGACTTTGAAGTTTCTCCCCAGCAGAAAGCTTTCCAGAATGGCATGCGTATTTGCAGGGAGTGAAACCTTTAGTTTGTATATAAAGCCATCATGCCAGACTTTGTCAAAAGCTTGAGAGATTTCCAAAAATACACTGGTGCAGTATTGCTTCCTTTCGAAGGCTTTTGTAATTCAAGAAACAATTCTATGAACTTGTTCTACAGTGCCATGTTTTTCACGAAAACCAAACTGATGTGGTGAAGTTATTTGGTTACTTGTTAATGAAGGTTGTATTTTTTCAATAGAAGTTTTTCAAATATTTTGCAAAATGCAGAAATCAAGCTAATCGGCCGATATGAACTTACTACTACTTACTTTGACACCATAATAATTTCCGAAAGTTTTCATAAATCGGGGAAGTGCCCCAACTTAAGCATGTTATTAAAAATATGTAAAAAAAATGTACGGCAGTTTGTGTAAGCTCCTTTATCATTTCACCAGTAATCCTATCGTAACCAGGCGCTTTATTCTTTTGAATATCATGAACAATGGTTTTAATTAAATCTTTCTTTTTAACCCGAAACGGATTTGTTGTAAGGCTACTGGGGGGTATTGAAATATTGGAAGGATGAGAGGCTTCATTAGGTCTAAAGACTTGTGAAAGATGACAGGCGAAAGCTTTTGCTTTATCCTCATCATTCCTCGCCCAGTTTCCGTTCTGAGTACGTAATGGTGCTTCTCGAAGAACGGGCCTCTTCGCATGCTTCAGCCTGTTTCGAAGAAGACAAGGACTGAAGGGTCGACTGCGTACTTCTTTCCTTTTCCGCCTGAAACAAAATACGAAATTCCTTTGTACATGATTCAGCTCCTGTTTAAGCTTAGGAGAGCGAATTCTTTGCCATTCCCTTCTTAATATGCGCTTTTTACTCATTAAATTAAGAATGTTTGGGGTGGGCAGGCCAGGGCAGTAAGAATTGCGATGTTTAATAGAACGATTTGGTGTTGCAATGTCTGCGGCCTTAACTATTATATCAGTGAAATTTTCAGCTGCCCTGTCGATATCAATCGTGGTCCGAGTAGGAATTGACGGGTCAATGTGCGAACTGACATACTTTTTGTATTTTAACCAGGTTGTGCGCTTATTTGTAAGATTTTTTTGTTTTTCTTCATAATTAATCAACATTGATAATGTTATAAGGCAGGGTGAATGATCTGAAGAGAGATCAAATAATGCTTCAGTATTAACTCGGTGTCGCGCAATACCATTTGTTACACCAAAGTCAATAAGATCGGGTATTTTTTGGGAGTGAGATGGCCAATACGTTGGCTGACCAGTAGACAAGACATCAAATCCTCTGTTCTGAATTACTTTATATAGATTTCTACCCTTTGGTGTAATAGAGTGTGCTTTTAGCATTGTAATCTCCTGCTACAATAAACTTACTGCCAAACTTTAGGAAAAAGTCATCAAATTGTTTTTCAGTTATGTTATGACGAGGGGGCAGTATATAGCAGATACAGTAAGGCCACCCAAGTGGTCATCAATGTGTATTAAAGCGTTATGAATGAACTCATCACTTTGCGATTCTAATTCATAGTGCTTTATTCTGTTACGAATGAGAATAGCTGTTCCACCTCGGGCTTTACCTTGTGGATGCTTAGTATCATAGAATTTGTACCCATTAATTTGAAAGTTATTAAATTGCGTAAGGTGGGTTTCAGATACAAGCAAAACGTCTATATGATATCGCTCTAGGAAAATTTCTAGTTCGTTTTAATGCTGGGTTATCCCGTTCGGATTCCAAAAACAAATTTTGAGATTATTCATGGTTTAGCTAAAATGGCTTGAAGTAATAGATTTTGATTTTTAATCAAATCTTGAACCATGCTCTGCATTGCCATCATTTGCTCCTGCATAACTTTCATAAAGTTGTTTATAGTAGCTTCTAGGTTACTACTATCCTGACCAAAAAGAGATTGTGTCGGAGGAGTATTTTTGAGCATTTGTGCATATGAAGTAAAGTTATTAACATTTATTGGCGCAGATATTGGCGTAGCGGGTTTCGGTATGGGATTTTGCCTAGTAGGATTTTTGTAAATTGTTTTCTCTTTCATTGAGATATAAACTGGACAACCTCTATAGTTAGCAGTGTGATTTCCTCCGCAGTTCCTGCACTTTTTGGGTTTTGGGTCCATTTTTGGTTTCACACATTCTCTAGAAGTGTGTAGATCCCCACAGATAACACAGACACCAGGTAAGGTGCAGTAGCGACTGTGACCAAATTCCTGGCAGTTATGACATTGAACAGGGCGTCTACGCTTATGGGGTTCTTCTACGGAGAGTTTACGGTGTAGAAGATATCGTAATTCATATATTTGATGCACTTCCCCTTTTTTCAGATTATGAAAGTCAGGTTATAGGTCTATTTTGAACATCGT